CTGTGAAGTGTTCTGTTTAACAATGGCAGGATATTCATTTCATGAGCAGGCAGATATGATTTTTACATACAGCCGCATGAATGGTAATGGACAGGAGGCTACACAGATGTATCAGATCATGTTTCCAGACCGAAGCCAACCAAGTCATCAAACCTTTGCTGCTGTTTATCATTGTATTGCTGAGACAGGATCCATGGCACCACAAACTATGGTAATAAGTATTTTGGGATTGTATCTTGGATTATACATTTAACAGCATCTATGATAAACATTAAATTTAATAACTCAAAAACGAAAGATTTGCAGACATATGTTTATATGGTCTTTTGTCCTTGTTTGGTGTGAGGAACCTGCACCTAAACTTTGTAAAAGTATTTTTGATACACCTCTGTGTGTGTGTGTGTGTGTGTGTGTAACACACACTTATCTAGCCCGCAAACAATTATTCCTTATTCTGAATGTTTCATGCAACCACACACATGCGGTTCATGCATGGTGTCATGTTACACTGTCCCACCCCCAATTCCATTTTGTACCAAAGCAAACATTGATATATACATCAATTCATAAACAGTTAACATTAAAATTAGGTAATGTTCTTTTGCATTATACTTAATTTACCACAATCCAATTCAGTGTTCATTTAATAGATTCAAAAGATAACTTGATTTAAATAAATTGCAATTAAATCAAATTCTTAAATTATTAATTTGTATCTTTAATTATTAATTTGTAATAATACAAATATTATTACTTGTAGCACAAATGATTTTCTACCATAGTTTCCTGATTTGAGGCAAAATATAACTATGTATTTAAAGGGATAATTCCCATATTTTACACATTTTATAGCATTTCTCTTTACATGTGATCCAACCCAAAGTGGGCAGAAAAGGTTGCCAACTTGTTATTAAATGTTTTATCAATATACAAAATGAAAAACAAACCATGCTTTTCATAAAGTTTTATATTATCATTTCTTTCTGTAACAGTTTAATAGTGATGTAAAAAATTTAAAAGAGAGCAATAGAGATCAAATTAATTAGAGTTTGATGCCTGGAGAAACAAAACTGATCAGCTTGAAGATATTCAGACAAAAGTGAGTTTTTTTTTTTTTTTTTTTTTTTAAATTACAAAATCACTGTAAGCAGAAGATATACCACCTACCCAAGTTACAATTTGTTCAGTTTTTTTTGTTTTCAGTTTATTGATAATTGGTGCTGCCTTATCAATTTATACATAATGTGTATGTGTGTTTGTGTAAAAATTCAGATATAATTAAAAATATATTTGCAAAAGGACAATAGGAATAAAGACAATTTCTATTTTCCCATCAGTTTGATTTTTATGTACATCTGTCCTTTTGTCATTTTCCAAAAGTAAGAGTTAACATCGGCAACTCTGTGAGATCGCTAAAAACAGAGCATAGCATGATGAAAAAGACGTCAAAAGTTGATGAAAACAAAATTTTAGCGTCTAAATGCTTATGTTATTATTGAGAGGAAAGATCAAAGTATTTTTTACTTATTTTTAAAATTTTTTTCCTTCTTTTTTAGAACATTGTAAATTTTGATTAAAAAACCTTGTTTCTCTTTTTATCAGCTTGGCTGATAAAATAACAAAAAATTTTTGCACGTTTTTTTCCTGTTTGACACACATTAATTTGGAAAATCTTGCAAAAATAAAAATAATTGTCGGATTTTAATGAAACTTTCAGAAACTATTCACAAATGATGGAACTTATTAGAAATATATTTTTTTTTAGTAAAGTCATCGCATAATTTTTTTTTTTTCATATGTAATACCCCCCCCCCAACTAATTGTACGAAAACTCTATAATTTCAATTTTGAGGAGTTTAGTGATTATATCAGTTAAAAGCACAATGCTTTGAGGAAACAAAATCATGTTTTTTTTTTTTTTTTTAGTTAGAGCCCCTCTACCTGAAAATCGTCTCTGAAGTGTAACATACAAAAACTCAATAAAACAAAAATATTATTTAATTTCAAAAGCTTTTAATTGCTTTTATTTATTCCAATAAACATGGACAATATTGTCTGAAAGCAAAAAGATATTTCGATGAAAAATGAATTTTTAAAACAATTACCTACAATTATTTTTTATTTCTGCAACCATTGTTTTTATTTTTACATTATGTTGTTAATTCTTCTAAAATTATGGAAAAGCTTGTACAGCTTAACGGATGTTGTTTTTAAGTAGATATATATTTACAGATTATAATTTCCAAAGTTTATTACAAACTAATGAGTATTCGTATATTAAAAAAATTAATTTGTCAATAATGTGTTTACCAATGAAATCTACTGAAGACCGGAAGTTTGGTGCGTGCAATAAAAATAACGTCACGTGGATTGAGTTTCTGTCTAGTATTTAAGGGTTGTTCTTCGCTGTATACGGCCCCTTAATTTAGCAAACTGTTCCTGCTGAAACACGTGTGCATCATTTTCATTAAGTGAAAATAGGTACTTTCATCTAGTTTTCATCGTAGTCCTGTAATGTTTGGTTGAAATCGGTTGAAAAATGTAGGAAATTCGATCCAATAAACATAACACACACAATCTGGGTTTTATAATAAATAAGATTCACATTTTGCCTCTAGAAAACTAAAAACATTTCAGTCATTTACACTAGCCAATTTTGCTTTTAAATGAAACATTGTTTGCTTTCAGAAAATACCTAGTTTCATGGGATTCAGATTAACTTTCCTGGTATTTTTCCAGATAAGTCATTTTTATATATATATATATATATATATATATATATATTACTTAAAAATATAAGAATCCATTTATTTATTTTTTTCCGAAAATAGGCTGTGACAAAATGACTTTTACTATGTTTGATTATTTTACTGGGAATAGAAATTTTTTATAATAGCAAATCTGAATTGACTTTAGAGGGTCTATATGGGCCCCTCAAACAGCAGTGCAGCACTTGTATTTTAATTTTTTTAATAGTATTTATAATTTCTCCAAACAGTATCAACAAACTTATGGTACATAGTACTCAACAAAAAAAAATTGTAATGGCGAAAGTTTTTTTACTTTAAATATTACAAGTTACTACTTAAGTAGGTCCGCTTAAAAACAATATGTGCATTCTGTGCTTCCGTATGGGAACTCGAATCTCACGTCAGCTGTCAATAATTTATAGACGTCATCACTCAGCACTCTGTCAATCGACGGCGACGTGAAGATCGGCTCTTTTATCTTTAAAAACATTTTTCTACGAAGAAAGTAAGTAAAAGTTTCTTTCAAAATATTTTAAATAAACTTCAAATTTTCTAAATTTCTTCAAATAAATATTGAAATACGTATAATTAATTTTTAAACGAATTTTAAATGAAGAATTTAACTTATTTTTAAAATTTAAAAAAATATGGCTGATATAGAGCTTTTTTCATTTTTTCTGTAAACAAGTTTTTTTAACTAAAATTTTGGACATGCTAAGAATGAGTAAAAATTTCAAAAATTACTCAAAAAATACTTTAGTGTTTCTTCTCAATAATGAAATATACTTTTATCATGAAAAAAATTTTTTCCGTTAATTTTCAGACTGTTCTTGTCATGCTATCTATTTTCACGAAAAAAAAAACAGAGTTCCCTAAGTTAACAGCTCCCTGTTCAACATTTCTTTATGTCCTTATATTGTAACCAATTATATGCATTCATTACATCACCAGGTTTAAGTAGTGAGCAACAAGATAAATACACACACTTGTTATTGAAGTAAGTGTTCCTCTTAGGTGAGGAAATGTGTTTTTCAACCCTTAAATTGCACATGTTTATAATGGCTTATAAATGTGCAAATTATTAACTCCCAACACTGAGTATAATACATAAATCACGTCCAAAATTTAAAAAACAAAAAAAAGCAACCTATCCACATATATACAAACATCACATACTTTTCAAAATACAAATTATACCCATTCTTAAATTTAACACTGACTGCCAACCACAAGATACCTCATGGTTGGCAGTTTTTATTATGACATGAACTATGAGTTCTTGTGCTTAGTATTTTGTGATACATTTTCATCAGTGGGTGTCAACAAGTTGCTTATTCACAGGATACTTTTAGCCTGAAAACAGTGTTAAGACTTATAAATCAACCCATAAAAATATTTTATTGCCTAAGTTGGCTATTATAAAGTTGGCATTTGAAGTCAGATCTTGTAATTGACCTCTAGCAGTCAATGTATTAAACTATCCATAGCCTGAATATGACTAAATTAAAAAGACTTGTAGAATAACTATTTATATCAACCAATTATAAAAATAATTAAAACATTCACATTGCTATATATAAGTGGTTTGCTCAAAATTAAGATGCTAAAACACAAGCTAGTCATCACTCTGGGTAAATTAGAGTTTTATTATTAAAAGCTCCCAGATCAACAGGATTGTATTTAATATTGCAAAACTATATTAATTAATATATTTTTAGTAGAAAGAAAAAAAAAAGGAAATAAAGCATTAAAAATGTTGGGTTCAACCACAAGGCTAAGATTTAGTAGTATATTAATGTTGTTATTAGAAGCACAAAGCAACAGAGAATTTAAAAAAAAAAAAAGGCAGTGTGGGGTGTATGACACAAGTAAACTACTACTCCTTGACAACATGTAATAGTGACCACAAACATCTATGAGAACTAGTGCAAAATCTGTGTTGTGTGGACATTCAAAAAGAGACCAGAATCAATCTCGTTCTGAGTGAATCAGTGAGCAGGTGAGCTTTTTACAAGTGGCTATAACCCCCTACAATACTGCCTCAGCACTCCATGTTGAAACAGGAAGGAGAGAAAAGATGGGATGAAAGGCTTCAGAGAGAAAATTAAGAAGCAGTATAAGAAGTAATGAATGTGGATGCACAACACGCAGAGATAGAGATGGTGGGGAAAGAATAAGGAAGAGCAGGACAGAGAAATATGTCACAGCTCTGCAAATGCAGTTGTGGGGGTTCAAAAATCTCCTCCCTACCTGGAGCACAGCAATGGTAGTGATGGGCATCTTGCCAGTTGGTACACTTGCAGAAGTTTTCTTCATTGCCGGAATGACAATAGCCTTTACCTTTTTATTCTTGGTACGAACCATTTTAGCAGCATGGAATGTCAAAGGGCCAGGGAGGGATTATAAAGGGTGTTTACTCTCTGATGAAGAGAAAACAATGTTGTAGAAGTTAAAAAGAAAAGCTGAGGAGTTGTTGGGCAGTTACTGTAGAAACACCTTTTTTTGCCCTTTGCACTTCCTGGAGGTAGCCTGGAATGTAAATATGTATACAATACAATATATGGTTCTGATATAGTTTAGAATGGTAAAATGTAAATGTATCTACCAATATCTCGGTATATAAATAATGTGGAATATGCTTATTAAATACATTGTGGTTATGTATATATTTGTAATCAGTTTGTAGACAAAAGCAACACACTATAAACTGCATCGACGTAGAACACTTTAAAAATTTTGTTTACTATTCAACTAGATTCAAAGAAATCAGGAAATTCTTTTTCATCTCAGATTTATTAAGAGCATTTCATTTTCAAAGCTCCCTGAGACAATGAAACTTTTTTTGTTATGCTAGTTAGAAATGGTAGAAATAGTATATTTAAAAAAAAAAAAAATTTCTAAACTGTCAGTTTATATCTTTGCATCGACAAGAATAAAAAATATTTCATAAGTGAGATCCATATCAATAATAGCAATCATATGGTGCCAAACAGCTTGCACTAAAAAAATAAATTAGCAGAACCATATGTGAGTTCCTTTTTAAAAATTACATGAAGAGAGAGAGCATTCTAAACCACAAAATGAAGATTTTCTAAATTATAAAAGTTCATTCATTACAATACATAAACAAAATTGTAATTCTATAAGCTGATTACCTAAATGCAATAGTGGCAGCCATCTATTGCAAGCCAAAATGCAAACAACATTAAAGAAAAACAATTAGCAAAGTAAGTTTATTTTCATGAGAACTCTTTTTGTTCATTCTTGGTTAAAGAAATAGACAATATCAAAAAGTGGTAACACCTTAAGTTATACAAAAATTATATTAGTATTTTTTATATATATATTACTAAAACATTCCTGAAAACAAGGAGGCAAAAAAATAATAAATAAAAGCAACTTTATATACTTTTTCAGAATTTGAGAAATCTTTTCCAATATTTTTTTCTAAGTACTGGGTGATTAAACTCAATATTGCTGCATAAAATTTTTTTTAAAAGTCAAGTCCAAAAATGTTTATAAATAATTGAAATCAGTTTTCTTTTTTAGTTTATGTTCAAAAGATAAGACTTGTACTTAATGAATGAACAATACCATAATCTATAATTTGTGCCTATTTCCAAAACAAAAGATCACAAAATAATTCTACACTTAATTTTCAGTGAGGTAATCTTTAAAATTAAATAATCCTGAAAAGAGTTTAATTTGCTTAAAAAATATATATATATATATATATATATATATATATATATATATATATATATATATATATATATGGAATTTAATTCCTTCCTTCATACTCAAGCTAATGTCAAACTGCTAACAATGTTTTTATTGCATACATCCCAAGTATATATTTTCCTTCATTTAACAAAAATAGGAGCCTTTTTATTATAGAAGGTTTTAAAGTTTAAGCTACTAGGAAATAAAAAGTGAAGATAGATTTTGCAAGTTTTTAATTTATTAATGAAATATTGAAAACAGTTACATTTAAAATTTTTAAAGTATCACAAAGGTTTCTATAACAAGAGAGAATGGAGCATTTCATTTTGTGCTGAAAACAAGTAAAAGTTATTTTAGCTATTATATTTTCAATTGGTATTTAAGTGACTTTAGTTTAACCATATTCATAGATTTAAAATTTCATAAGCATTATAAATTCAGAACTTTACATGACTGGTAAATAATAGAATAGCCTACAGTCAATGTTGTCTAATAGGAAAATGATAAAACTGTCAAGAGAAAAGAGTTACATTTTTATAAACTGATTTGTTAAATACTTAAGCAATTTCCAAAACTGTTTTCTTCCAATCTATTTGCAAATACATTAAAGCATTTGATGCTGTCAATAAGTTTTAAAAGTGCACTTCAAATATCCATTCTCATCATTAAAACAATAGTTAAAAGTGAGAGTCACTGGATTGATCAGAGAAAAAAATAGAGTTAAATTAAGCCACCATCTATTGAGCTCTTTAATACTTAAATGATTGTAAATAGCAAGTTATTTGGTTATTTACTTAAAAAAATAAATAAAAAGATCATTATAATTTACTTACAATAGATATCTAGGTTCAAGAAATAATTATACTGTATACTAGTAAACAAAGAGTATAATTCAAATAGTTTATGAGTTAGCAATTGAAGTCTTCAAACTGTCTCTAGGATAAGTAGATAACAATACAATTCTTTATTTTAACAGTAAATCAATAGATACAGGATATAAAATGCTTGTGTACAGCAAGTATGAAATGGTAAACAGTAGCAGTAGAGATCTCACCTATTTCTTTACTAGTTAACTGTATACAAAACAAGTTATGTAACAATGGCAAAGTCAACCAGATATCTGCAATTGTATCAATAATAATAACAGCAAGAAAATGACAAAATGCAATGATCTGTATCAACAAGCCTTTCTTATGGAAGTTTTATGTTACATCCTGCTACATTACTTCATATTTATAAGGATAACGTCAGTATTGTTTAGGACATCTCCATAAGAAAGTGATTTCTGTCCAAATTTCTGAGATGAGGAGAATTATTATTTATACTATTTACAATCGGACAAATGTCCTGATATTTGTTATCACAACATTTTAACTACTGTATCCTCAGTCTTCTTCAGGTGTGTGTCGATTCCGTAGGGTAATAGCCTAAAGGATTAAAGCATTGGTTAGTGAATTTGATGACATGATTGCGAGTTCAATTCTTAATGCTAGCTGAGCAGTACTTAAGAGAGAGAGAGATCTCATAAACAGGGGAACCAGGACAATCTACTACTATGGATTACATAAAAAGTTCAGTTCAAAAATTCTCTGAAAGTTTACCTAGATCAGACTCCTGAAGAAGGTCAGGGATACAGAAGCTGAAAGTGATAACAATGAAGATAAAGACATCAGTACAATTGTAAATAGATTAAAGTATGGTGTTGAGATTTTCCTCAAGTCAATAAAAGAAGTACTAGTGTTAAAAGAAAAACAATGTACAATTTTTTTTTTAAATGTCTATGCTCAATCTCTATGGAGTTTATCATTTTACTTTATTTTTATATATATATATATATATATAAAACTTGTGTCAAATCTCATCGCTGCCATCTAGTATATAACTGCAACAAGAGAGGTTTTTTACTTAGTATTAAAAATTTTCCAAAAATAAGTAACAGCTTCAAAAGAAAAGCCATACAATCATGCAGAAGTAATCAATCAACACACAATACCATGCCAATCCCTTCACAATTATGATACACATTAGAAAAAAAATTGAATTAACTGGAACCCAGTTAATTTTTCATGTCCAGTCACCTTAAAAGAATTTTAAGCAAAATGAAAAAAAATGTCAAATATGAATTGATCAACACCTACCTGTCATAAATAGGTTACATGATATACTGTGACTTAGTTTAAAGACAGTTAACATAAGAAACAGATCCTAAAATTCTCTTTTCTTCAGTAATCATACTTAAAACTAAACTGTTTAAAGATTTCTATAATTTCATCAAAATTTTAGGAAACTACCTGAAAAGATAGAAGTAATGAACTATACTAAATCATAACTAGTATAATTCTCCTGTAATCCTTAAGTAAAATTAGTTACAAATGAAAAGTGACATCCTCAAGTACATTCACATACATAATAGTAGCTGACAAATATAATTTTCGACAAATGACTTCATTGTAGATTTGCATCTTAATCTAGTGATGATAAAAAAAAAAACTGTTGCCTACAAAAATTAGTAAACTTACCCATAATATCATTGATTATCTACATCACTTTTACTTGCCTTTAGCAGATTATAGATGCACGCTGAAAACAATAAAATCATTACAAAAAAAAAAAATAAATAAATAAAAAGATCAGAGTTTTTACTCTATTTTATGATTGATAGGAGGTACAGAATTCAATCTCCAGTACCAGGGTTTAATCTATAGTGAACCCAATGTATAGATAAATCATATATAAAGATATATCTAGCATTTTATAAAAGAGAGGAGAAAATGTTTTAAACATCAATTAATAAGTCACTAAAAACTTCAAAAGAGAAAACTAACAAAACTGGATTTTTATCTGCAGTATTGTACAAGATCAGTATAGTAAAATAAAAAAAATAACAATGAATTGAGACAAAATATATTCAACATAAAATGATTTTTTTTTAATTAATCTCATCATTGAATGCACCAAAAATGCCACACTGTAACATTCCCTATACAACAAGGAGAATGTTTTATGTTTTAACCAGTAATAAAAAAAAAAAAAAAAATGAAAGAAAAGATTGTTTTTATTCTACTCAAAATCACAGACAGTCTAAAACATCTTTTATAGTTTTACAAATGTATACAAAAGTGAGAGCTTACTAGGTCAAACAAATAAAAATCTTATATGTAACAATATATACCAGTAGGATTATGTAACTGCCTTAATTTTACAACCAGATAAGATCTTTATGCATGGTCTTCTATTTACCTCCAAATCAACCAATCCACACATTAATCAGCTTAATTTGAAAATGTTTTTATCACATATACCAAGTGAACATGTCTTTTTCCTTTTGAAAAACTATTTCATAGAATAATCTGGCTGTGCCAGCTTTCAAATCAATATTTATATAAAAAGAAATTGGATTTCACTTACCAGACTAACAAACTACCATAAATTTGGAATAGCTTATTGGACATTTTTTTTTTACATTTCCTTACTAGCTTTGCCTTTTTGTGCAAATTTAAACCTTGCTAATATTAGAGAAGACTTTACTGGAGAAAAAATAAAAAACAATATGAAAAATGTTCAATACAAAAGATTAACTCTTTATCAGTGTT